ATAATCAAATCATAAATTTATCACACAATTACTTGAATCAAGTCATTTCGCTGGTGATAATATGATCGATTCTTTAGATCAATCATAAATGCAATTCATAATCTCGCATATGATAATATGGAAACTATCAATTAATATGTTTGAAATTAAGATTTTATCGATCGTGGATGTACACCGCGCATGCCTTGGCACGATATACATGCGGTTACATATGGAGATAGTGCCCGAGATCTGGCACGTCATTTCATACAGCGGTGGAATGCTACCAAGGTGATCGCTTTATTCCACTGCTTTAACTGCAGAAAGCTTCTTAAGTTTTCACATCCGAATTGGTCAATTCATTTATTGTTTTATCTATTCGTTCACATTTGAATTCGCTGATCACTGGCATATCGCGCTTCGCTTTACGAAGTAGTTGAATCGTTTTCGATCACTCTTCGGTTCTATCAAATTTTACAACGATAATAGAGGTATTTTTAAAGGTATTTGTTGACTTTGGAATTTTCAGACCATTGGAAAAAACCAAACTAATTTTTATGATTTAGACGGAAAAATCGAAAGATGAGAAAGACTATCCATTTTTGTTACCAAAATCTTACGATACAATAAAAGTACCTCGCGTCCTGCAAACCATCAGTGAATGCGCTGATGTTCAAGTGCTAAGATCTGTCTCAAATTGGTCAGCTCTAATCGATGACACTGAAGACAGCATACAGCGGGTAGGTTACGCGAGTTTCGTTGTGGGCAAATACGAAACGAGCTTATTGGTCTCTTTTGGTGAATTTCGACGGCTTAATCCTCAAGCTTAGTCAGAGCTTTTTATTTTCTGATTCTTTCTAATATTTGTTTGTAAACATTTGCTCCATTGCCAACTCTGCACATCAAACTCACCATTGTTTTAGGCATACGTCTCGTTGATTGCAACCTCAAAACATTGTATTTATATTGAAAATCAGTTTTTTATATCATTAATAAAAAGTAAAGAAGTTGTTAATGAGATTTGTCGAGAGCTCTGCAACCGAATCAAACGAGCTTATGAGTGAGTTCAATTTTTGATCTGATTAATATTTTTCGATTTCACATTATAGTGTCTTTTTTTTTCAAAAATAATGTTATTGTCATTGTTTAGTTATTGCAGTTATCGTTGATAATTCTATCACTCACGTTTTCCTCATCTAACAAGATCTGGCAGATTGTCTTAAAATATATAAACGATTTTGCGTTGATTCGCGATCTGTTAGAAGTAGACATTGAAAATATCTCTTATTTCAGNAATGGATTGGGGGAATTTGCAAACTTTTCGTTACTTTCAGTGATAATCAAAAGTTCCGTGTATATATAGTATTGCCTTTGTTACCCGCATTCGAAGGCGATGTCGGTGCACCGGGTGGATCGGCTCTGCAGGCAGTACTGCATTGGACGTTTCTATCGTTGTCTAAGGGAAAGCATTCACTGATTGAAAAACTCAAGAACTATGTCCCAGATCCAATGAAATATATAAAAATTTGCTCATTAAGGACATGGGATGTTTTAGGTGGCAAATTGGTTGGTCTTTTGCAGTTATCTGTTTTCGATCACATAATCAGTGGTGAAAGTGGGGAGTTCTTTGGAGGAAAGGGTAACACGGATTCTTTGCGAAGTAATAGGATTAGAAAATGCCTTCAGTTGGGATGTTCGATTTCATTTGAATAAGTGACAATGGCGATTATAGAAATAGGTAGCGATTTTTGAGGAAATTATCATTAGTGACAGCAGTCTTGGCATTCAAAGGCGGCCATTATCAATTAAAACCACCTGCCTTTACTTCCACCATTGCTTGAAAGTTTGGATTTTGAATTAATCATCGTTGAACATCTTATTTGATTGATTGAATTTTCATTATTTCAACGATAATTTGGGTTTACCTTTGAAGGTCAACGAATTAGTCTATGTTCATTCTAAATGTATGATTGTTGATGATAAATATACTATAATTGGTTCAGCGAACATCAATGATCGTTCACAATGTGGGGATCGAGATTCGGAAGTAGGTGATAATAATTTCGTGGTATATTTTCCAAGAATTGACGAGTCTGACATCAAAAGTTCAAAGCCTCATCTATAATCTTTCACCTGCTAAAACTAATTAATGATTTAATCATTTGTTCTTTTACGGAACTTTTCCCTCTTGTGATATGCATAGAAGGATATATCCATTCGAAAGCCAGATATGTTAGTCTGTCTTTTGTGTTGGAGAATGAAATCGAAAAATTAGATCGTTCAGAAAAAATGAAGAAAATATTTCGTCCTTCTCAAAAAGATAATGTCTGATAGTGAAAAACGGACGCAAGACCTGGCTTCTATGCACAAAACATCTCGAGAGACTGACCTTTTCAACTTTTGCTTATGTTTGCTGATGAACTGTCAGTGATATTTTATTTGGCAATTTAAACTGGTGAACTTTTTTCTTCGAACGTTTGATATAATTGAAGGTGTGTATTGTTGTGAAAGACTGTGAATTTGTGGATTCAAAAATGAATGGACAGCCCTATAAAGCGGGTAAATATGCGCTCAGCCTTCGTAAACATCTTATGAGCGTTGGTTTTGTCTTCATTCGAAAATTTTATTGTTCCATCGAGTAGTTTGTTTCATTATTATTATTATGCAATCAAATTTCAATTTTTGAAATGAAAANTAAATTTTTGTGAAGATTTCTATTTCATATGACTTATATTCAGTGAAAAGGAATGTATATATTAGCGATTCCACCATGTGAGGATATGTATTTGCTATTCGGAATCGCGAGAGGTTGTCTCCTCCTTTCCACTTTCTTGTTGCTCCGTAAACCTGAGAATCATCCGGCATCATCCGTGTACGTTTGAAGACATTCCATTTTCACTGATATGGGAGAGTTGTTCTATTTCATACCTTTGAAAAACATTCCTGGTTATAGACCTGCATCTGTTTGCTTATCAAATTGAATTGATATTCATTCAGCTGTCAGCTGATATTTCAAGTAAGCAAATCTGTATAGTTGAGGTTTACAGTGAAATGCAATTCGTTTAGTATGCAGATAAATTGATTCTTTCAAGCGATGGCTAGTGAATTTTCAGGTATTTCGTGCGTTTCCAACCGATTCCGTGAAAACTCTCCAAGAGTTGAATGAATGGCGTTCACAGTTACCAATGAATGAACGCAATCCACAGCTAGCTCTAAAGAAACTAAGAG